GCGTCGCTCTCCAATTGTATCCGCCCTTTCTTCGAGCTCTTCATTCCCCACGGGTCCTCTTGGTGTCTCGCCTCATGACTGTAGGCTACATGAACATGTAAAGTCGGAAAAGGGATATGGCCGAAATCCTGACAAAATCCACTGCCAATGAGGTAGAAAGTAAAAAAGAAGTTGACGATGTACGTACCTGTATCCTAACAACATATTCATTTTCATTCGGCACCTGGCAAGTAGTGGAGAGTGGCTAATCGCGGGGCTCATCGTCGTGATCATCGTTATTAAAGTTGTGGGTTGATCATATACCGATTCGGCAAATCGCGCTTACTAAGAACACAATTATGGTTGCCCTCATGCTCATCGGGATGATCTTCTTCGACTTTTACGTTCGTAATGCCCTTCTGCATAATCGTGATAGTGGTGTTTTTCTTCCCGCTTGACATTGTTAGGATCAGATACGTTGTGATCCTTGTGATTCGTCATGTTGATGATCCTCGTGTTCGTGGTTTTCTTCTTGGTCTTCCTCCTCGTAGTGTTCGTATTCATCACCGTGTCTAGCGGAGTCATGCGGCTGATCCAAGTGCGTAGCCAACTTCAAGCAGAGGGTGCCTTCTTCTGTTGTCGGCAGTGAGGGTGAGCCTAAGTACATACGAGACTGACAGAGAGATAGGGATAGAGGGAGAGAGGGAGAGAGGGAGAGAGTGGGAGAGGGAGAGAGGGAGAGGGGGAGAGAGGAAGAGAGGGAGAGAGGATATGAAGCAACAATAAGAAGAATAAAATGAGAGATAGAACGAACAGGAGCAAGATACATACCTAGCCGTAATGATGGGCATGTACCTTTCCATATTTTAGCGGAAGATTCATTTCCAAAAGCGCACAGGAGACTATCATGTTGCTTGAAGCCTGCTGTGTTGATTGGGATCGCCGTGCTACTCAAAGTTGCTATGCTAATCAAAGTCACACTCGACTTTTCTTGTGATTGCCCTCGTGCACATAGTCTTCATCATGCTTTTGCTTTGGAGGACTTCTGGTGCTTCCACTCGTTGTTGTTATCTAGATTACCTCATCAAGTGAGTACATTACTGAAAAAACTTGAAATGCAAGGTCGTATAACTTGTATTTTTGTTCTCATTCGACAAAACTAAGTTTTTCATTAAGCCGAGTTTTATGGAGTTGGTGTTTCGACTGCAACATCGTTGTACTTTTGCTGCACAACATTGTGTTTCAAAAGTGATTCGCTGTTGTGCATCACACTAAGCACTGCATCATGTCTAGCGTTGTGTGTTATCGATGTGTATGGCTATAGCATATTGCGTTGTGCACTATTCTAACGCCTTGTTACTGCGCCTGCTAAGGGGCACACTTCGTTTTGCCGCGTTTTAGTTGCGTTTACCTGCATATTCGGATAGAGTACAAAGGATGTGATCTATTCAAATACAACCTTTTTAGGTTTTGTAGCGATGGTTTGGTCACCAGGGGAGACATTGTGACTGGGGGAGTGGTAAAACTCTGCAAAAGGTGTTACTACCTGTGTAGCACAACGAACATGTTCGGAGTTTTTTCGAATGTCCGAACATGTTCAGGTGTTCGGTCAAACGCCTCCCGAACGCGTTCATTCGAACATACTAAAACAAAAATATGTATATATATATACATATATATATATAATTATTTTGTTTTTTTATTTTTAACTCGAGTTTGGTAACGAATTTGAGCATACCTTCCATGCAAAAGTTGTTTGTTTTATTATTTTACATCAAATATTTTTTTTCCCAGATGTTTCTTAGATGTTTTTTTTTTTTTAAATATTTTATGTTCCCGTTCGAATGGTTTTGACGCTCATTTGCGTTCGGTCGCAAACATTCGGGTCCGGTCACCGAACCCGAACACGATGCCACACAGACTCGGATAACTATTAGGATGCCGTTTACCCTACGTTTGGCCCCGGTTTAGCCATTTTCAATGTGTTTGGTCACCATTGCTAGACCCTCTGGAAAACAAATTGAAGATATCAAGGTCCTCTCACGCGAGTTTGAGTGAACATATCTTACACCTCGAGAGTCAAACTTTACTTCTTCTGTCCTTCTTAAGTCTAAGTCTAATTTGAGGTTCAAAGAGGACGAGGGCATCGGGATTGGAACCCGTAGGACCACATCATGGTCTTGTGGGAGGTCTACCCACTGATTGGGGGGCACTTGCCGGAGATTAGGCGAGGTTCTTGAGGGAAAAAAACTTTATGGCAAACTTTGATTTTCAAGTTATGTGTGTCACTGTATCCTTATTCAATATATCCCTCTACTTTGTCTGCTATGTATGCATGCCCTATGAACTTTTGTTTCTTATTCGGGATTAAATGCGAGTTTAAGTCAAGAGAACACATGTGTGAGAATCCATCTATTATTTTTGTTCTCTAAATTCGGACAAGGAGGAATTAACTGGGGGTAGGCGGGAGAAAGGTGGTTTTGCTTGCGTTGACAGGGTTTCAAAGGGTCAGACATGATTTCTAAGATGAATTGTCTGACCACTTTGTTTTGTTCTATTTTCTGAAAGACCAAGCATTATGTCTAAGATGATTGACTTGAGTGTTTTATTTTTTACTTATTTTCTCCACAACCACTTACGTACATTGTTTTTAAGTCCGATCGTTGTTTATTTTTTGGTGGTTTTTTGACAAACCTTGAACGTTGTTTTTAAGATGAATGACTTAGGGTATTCTATTTTTGTTTTATTACTGAGAAAATTGGGTTGATCATTGTTTCTAAGATGAATGGTTCAACTCTTTAGATGTTTCTTCTCAGCAAGGTTCAAGCCAAACGACTAAGCATTATTTCTAATATGAATGGTTTAGTGTAAAGCTACACAAACTTATAAGAACAAAAAATATGACTTTCTATATTGTATTATTTCTTTATTTGTATCTAAATAAATACGGCGAGTCAAACATTGTTTCTAAGATGATAGGTATGACTTTAATCTTATTACAAACAAAACAATATAATTAAAAGTTATAATTGAAGATAACATAGGTCGATTGAGCATTGTGGAAAGACATTGTCGCTAAGTGAAGTGTTGCCTAAATTTCAACAAATTCAAGAAGGTAGTCAAATTTTATTTTTTCACCCTTCATTTTTGTTTGAGTTTCATATATGACTTAGCAAAAATTTGGGAAGCTTATTTTTCTAAGGGAAGTGGTGCCAGTTTTTTTGTTAAATCAAAGAGTTGGATAACATTTGTCTTTGTGAAGTCAGAATTATTTTTATAATTTATATTTAGCCTTGTACATAATTTGAAAAGACACTTTTTCTAGAGGAGTGTTGTCAAAAGTTTTACAAATCTAAGGAGTTAGTTAAATTTTGTCTTAGCATAGTTCAAGTTCTGTCTTTTAGTTCATATCGGACTTCGTGTAAATTTGGAAAAACTACCTTTTTAAAAAGAATGCTGCCCAATTTGTCACTAAGTCATATAGTTAGACAAAATTTGACTCTATAAAGTTAAAAGTCGTTGTTTGATCTGATATTTAGTTGTGTATAAATTCTAAAAAAAATATTTTCTCTAAAGAGAGTGTTGCCTAAAGCTTTCTAGTCTCAAGGAATTATATTATATTTAATAAGAAAAAGTTTGGCGATTCATCCGGTCCAAGGGAGATGCTATCAAAAATTTTCAAAATTTGTGACACCGTTTAGATATACGTTTAAACTTACTATTGAAAGAAGTAGAAGGAGATGAGAAATAAGGTCTTATTCTCCATTCACTTAAGTATAACTTTGAAAATTGACATTTATTGTGTAACAAATCGATTTATTTATTTTAATTCAAGGTCGAACTAGATGCAGCCTTATTCACGAGGATCATTTTCAGTTATCATTGATAACATGTGGGTTGTCGATTTGTCGGTTTACCATTAAACTTCAAACCCATTCTCGCGACTCAACCTAAGGTCTTGACCCCTGTGAGTTGAATTGTTTCTTTTAGTTTTTACCCATGCCTTTATTAAATGGTCATTTAAAAAGAACTGAGTGTTTTATTTTGAAGGGTTGGCCAAAGGTTAGGGCTTGTGTGAATAAGGCAAGGGGTGTGAGTGCAAAAGACGGTTGAAGTTGACCTTGTGTAGTGTGTGGTCTTTCTATGTTAAATCGTTGGTGTAATTGAAGGTGTGTTTTGTGAGTTAAAGCTTCGATTGGACTTTGTCGACAAGCATATACATATTTTGAAAGGATTCACATTGTGATTATGAAAATAATGGTCTCGTGTCTAACCCCACTATATTTTTACTTTGTGTATCCGCGTAGTCTATTTTGACCATGCAAAAGGATTGAGTGAATTTGTAATGAGAGAAAATAAGAGATTTTTTATTTTTGTTTAAATATTTATAGTTGGACGTTGAGGTTCATGCCGGCTATCAAAGTCAAACCTCTTGACTTCAAGTTGTTTCCAGACCTCCGAAGATGAGACTTCCTTCCAAGCGTAAGAGGTGTTTGGTTGCCACAAAGAGTCAAAGTCCGCCTACCACTCCTCTCAACATTGTGCGTAAGAGGGTACGACTCACAGTCACACTCATGATTGTGTAGTGTCATGAGATTAATTTATCCTGACGCATGTCAACCGACACTTGAGTGTCGAAAGTGACCCTCAACATCATTGAAAACCACGTGATCATTGGCACCACGTACGCCATCTTAGCGACAACTTGCGTATTCATGCATGGGTAGCCTACGTCACCACGATATTTATGTAGAGTTTCGCGTGCGACACACGTCTGTTTCGACGTCAAAAGGTGATGGGTAGAACATGAAAAGAGACCAGACGCGATTTATGTATGAAGCTTGCTTTATTTTTGTCGAAGTTTTTTTTTCTAGATATCCGGATGGTCCAAGACCATCCGGAATATCCGGCTGGAAATTCGACCTCGGAAGAACCTGGAAATAAACATTCCACGGGCTGCGCAAAATAGGCGCAGGGCTTCTTCTTGGGTTCTAGAGGTGTTAAGGGGTTTTGATCAACCCCTGGCAAAATCTCGCGGTGCCGGATCCTGAGTACGACCCAACGATTTCGAAAAAAAGGCGCCATCCTCTTAAAATCACTTAGCCCGCTGCCCCACCTCCCCGTTGCTCGCTGCCCCGCTCCTCGCTGCTCGCTGCTTGCTGCTCGCTGCCTCGCTGCCCCGCTGCCCTGCTGTTCCGCTGCTGCAGGCATAGTCGTCTCTGCTGGAGCCATCAGCGGGAGCCGCTCCTCTACCCGTCGCTAAGGTGGGCCTCTTCCTACTCTTCCTCCTCCTCATTCCCTCCTCCTCCCCCTCCTTGTCTTTCATCTCCTCCTCCTCCTCCTCGTCTTCCATCTCTTCCTCCTCCTCCTCCTCCGCTTCCTCCTCGGCGTCCTCCTTCTCCTCTTCCTCCTCCTCTTCCTCCGCGTCTTTCTCCTCTTCTTCCTTTCCCTCCCCCTCTTCCTCCTCCTCCTCCTCCTCCTCTTCCTCCTCGTTGCCCCGCTGCTCGACGCTCGCTGTCTCGTTGCCCCACTGTTCCGCTGCTGCAAGCATACTAGCCACCTTCGTTTGAGCCATCGCCGGGAGCTGCTTCTCTACCGGTCACTAAGGTGCGTCTCCTCCTCCTCCTCGTCCTCCTCCTCCTCTTCTGCCTCCTCTTCCTCCTCCTCTTCCTCCTCCACTTCCTCCTCCTCCTCCTCCTCCTCTTCCTCCTCGCTACCCCGCTGTTCGCTGCCCTGCTACCCCGTTGTTCCGCTGCTCCAGGCATACTAGTARSCGCGTATGTTGGGGTCATCGCCAGGAGCTGCTCCTCTACCTGTCGCTAAGGTGAGTCCGTTCCTGCTCTTCCTCCTCCTCCGCCTCCTCCTCCTCCTTGTCTTTCACCTCCTCCTCCTCCTCATGGTCTTCCACTTATACACATCTAGATGTGTATAAGAGACAGCCCGTGCGCTCGACCCAGCCAGCAGCTTCCAGTCGGGCCCTAGTATCTGCGCCAATCAATCAATCAATCGCCGTGGCCTCCTCCTCTTCCGCTTCCTCCTCCTCTTCCTCCTCCTCCATCGGCTCTTTCTCCTCCTCCTCCTCCTCCTCTTCCTCCTCCTCCTCCTCCTCCTGTCTCTTATACACATCTAGATGTGTATAAGAGACAGCCTCATGGTCTTCCACTTCACTCCTCCTCCTCCTCCTCCTCTTCCTCGCCTTCCTCCTTCCCGTCCTTCTCGTCATCCACCTCCTTTTCCTACTCTCGTTCCTCCTGCTCTTCCTCCTCCTCCATCGGCTCTTTCTCCTCCTCCTCCTCCTCCTCTTCCTCCTCCTCGTGCTCCTCTTCTCCGTCCATCACCTGCTCCTCTTCGTCCTCCTTCAAGTTGTCCTTCGTCCCCCCTCCTCCTCTTCCTCCTCCTTCTCCTCTTCCACCTCCTCCTCCTCTTCTTCCTCCACATTTTCTTCCTCCTGCATCGCCGCCTCCTCCTTTTCTTCATCCTCTTTGATTGCCTCTTCCTTTCTCCTCCTCCTCAACGGAAAGATTTCCCAGAATTTATTAATAATTCAATTAGTAAAATTACATTCTAAATTTAAAATTTTCATTCAATCTTAAAAAATGTCATTCAAATTTTAAAATTTTCATCTTACTTGCAAACTTAAATTCCAAGAACGGGGTACAAGCGAAAAATTTCCCAGAATCAAATAATCATTTTATAGTAAAATTACATTTAATTTCTAAATCTTAAATTTTCATTACATCTTAAAAAATATCATTCCAATTTAAAAAAAAAATTGTCTTACTTTAAAACTTTCCTTCCAAGAATGGGGTATCCCGTGTTATTTGAAGTGCATGCTAAAAATGAAATGAAAGTCTAGATGAGTTCATGAAATATTTTAATTGGACTGTTATTCCAAGTAAGGATTTTCAGTTATAAATAGAATGAAAGTTTAATTAAAAATTTTCATAAACTCGTCCAGACTTTCATTCCATCTTGAACAAATAGATTTAGTTGGAAGGAAAACTTATATTTAGATGAGAACTTATCAAATAAAACTGAAAATTTTAGAACTTGACGAACATTGAAATGATAATTTATAAATATGAAGGATTTTTTTTTACGGAATGTTTTTTCAATATTAATTTGTCGTGGGAATTTTTCTGTTATATCCCTTCTTATTTAGAATGCATGCTAGAGATGGAATGAAAGTTTGGATGAGTTCATGAAATATTTTAATTGGACTGTTATTCTAAGTAAGAATTTTCATTCATAAATAGGTTGATCGTAGTAGAATGAAGATTTAATTAAAATATTTCATAAACACGTCCAGACTTTCATTCCATCTTGAACAAGTAGATGTATTTGGAAGGGAAAACTCTTATTTAGATAGAAACTTATTAAATAAAACAGAAAATTTTAGAATTTGACGAACATTGGAATGATAATATATAAATATAAAAGTTTCTTTTTTATGGATTATTTTTTCAACTTTTATTTCTCGTGGGAATTTTTTTGTTGGTCCACCTCAGCCTCGTCCTCGTCATCCTTATGCGAGTGGGTGAAACACCGCACCTCATCTTGTGGGGGTAAAATGCGGGAGTAACTATGGCAGTCTGAAGCTAGTCAATACCTTGTCATCTAATCAGTCACGAGCCTGAATCGAATAACGAGATTTTTTTTTTTTCAATTAATCACTCAATCAATCAGGATTCGTAAAGTTCAATGTAACTTGATTGATTGATTGGTTGATTGATTGATTGATTGATTGATTGATTGATTAATTGATTAATTGATTGATTGATTGATTGATTGATTGATTGATTAATTGATTGATTGATTGATTGATTGATTGATTGATTGATTGATTGATCGATCGATCGATTGATTGATTGATTGATTGACTGATTGATTGATTGATACATAGATTGATTGATTGATTGGTTGATTGACTGATTGAATGATTGATTGACTAATTGACTAATTGGTTGATTGGAAAAAAAAAAAAAAAAAAGGCGGAGGGGAGAAGAGTCAGCCGATTGATTGACAAAAAAAAAAATTGCCGGATGTGAGGAGAGTTTGCCGCTACCTCGGCATAGTCCTCCTCCTCCTTCTCCTCCTCCTCCTCCTCCCTATCCTCTTCCTCCTCCATCGCCTCTTTCTCCTTCTTCTCCTCCTCCTCCTTGTCCTCTTCCTCCTCCTCCTCGTGCTTCTCTTCTTCTTTCATCGTATGCTCCTCTTCCTGAGCTCCTCCTTGTCTTGTGTCTCCCCCTCCTCCTCTCCCTCTTCCTCCTCTTCCTCTTCCCCCTCCTCTTCCACTTCCTCCTCATCTTCTTCCTCCTCCTTCTCTTCGTCCTCCTCCAGCGCCTCTTCCTTTCTCCTCCTCCTCCACTTCAGCCAAGTCCTCGTCATCTTTATACCAACGGGCAAAACACCCCACCTCATCTTTTGGAGGTAAACGTCATGAGTAACAATATCAGTCTGAAGCTAGTCAATGCCTCGTCGTCTAATTATTTATGGGTCTGAATCGATTAACGAGATCGTTTTTTTTCTTCAATCAATGAATTAATCAATCAATCATCATCTGTCAATTTCCGTCAATTTCAACGAAACTTTCCGTCAAAATCGACGGATAGATGGTTAATTGATAGAGTGATTGATTGATTGAGTGCAACAGAAAAATTCCACGATAAATAAAAGTTGAAAAAACATTCCATAAAAAAAATCCTTCATATTTATAAATTATCCTAGGTTACCAATGGTCCGGAGACCGGACGTCTCCCCCGGACGTCTCCCCCCCCCGTCGTCCGGATTTCCGGACGACGCCTTTTTGGCACCCAAAAAAAAAAAAAAAAAAAAAA